GAATATTTGCCTTCATTAATAGTCTCAAGACCCTAAGAGTTCCACAGAACACAAACACGAGGTGTAGACACATCACTTAATACACACATTTCGAACATCTATTACATTTTTAACTTGGAAGCTGTGGGAAATGTAATATCCTAAAAGAATCTAATATTTCAGTCTTTCAGACAATGATTTTTAAATCGATAAATTATAGTTAAAGGTTGATTCAGTGTATCCTCAACGCTTAACAAAAACGCAACTGGAAGGACACCTAGTGGAAAGAAGCAATAGCTGATGATTGCACAGCAACACGCACGGTTTGAACAGCGAGAACAGCGAGAAGGGAGTTTATGAGAACGGGTAGGAGGAGGAAGAATTATGTGATAAAACGGGTGGAGTACAGTTTAGGAGAAGAATTTCCTCAATGACAAGAGCTTATGTGCTTGGGTAATAATCTTCCAAGGAAATGGGATATTTGATTTGATAGAAGCAAAATTTCCCCAGTAAATGCACAATGGGAAACAGAATACAGACAGGAGGAAATTCAGAGTCCTCCTACACACACATACTAGCTCTAGCAGGCTAGTTCTGTAGGGTACAGCAAATAACAAGAATAGCCTGGCCTTGGGGCAACAGTAACTCCTGATGAGAGAGAAATCACAGATTTTCTTTGATTCATTTCTGCAAGCAATATTCCTTGATATGGGAATGAATTTCATGATTGAACCTTTTTCCTTCTTTTTGCTTATTCACTTATTTGTATAATTCATGACTTATCAGTGACTCACATCCACTTCTAAAGAACTATTTTGGTTAGTCTGCTCTCAGCAATCTATTTGAAAATATGGAAGAGCAGAGTTAATCAAGATGCTAGGACTTGAGAGAGCAGCACTTTGCCATCTATCCACAGTGTCATGTGGCAAGGTTGTTCAGCACTGGAATGGCAATAGTGCTGGAGAGAGTTCAGTCTTTCTAGGTCAAGCACAGGCCACTGGCAGCAAGAAGTGACCATAGCTCCTTGAAGCTGTCTATAAAGAATAATGGCATATTCTGCCCGAGTTTCCTCTTAGCAGGTCACACATTTGAGCTGCGCGTTGATCTTGCACTTGCAGCTTTCATTCTTACCTGCTGTCTCCCTCCACCTCTTTTGTCTCCCTCTCTAAGCAATCAGACACAGCACCCACAGAACTGACTGGAACAGTCAAGGCCTCACAGGAAAGCTAAAGCAGAGAAGTGAGCTTCCAGGGAGCAAGGAAGTGAGAGGGGCTTTGTTTGGGAAACAAGAGTGTCAGAAGTACCTCTCCTCTGAGAGGACACAGCCCCTCTTGTTCACAAAAACTTCAGATGGATTCACTCCACGGAAAGGATATTTTCAGACTATAACAAGATTATAGCAGATTATAACTTCCCCCCCTCCCCAACTGGCTCTTAATAAATCCTCTTAAATGAAGAATCCTCATTTGTCCTACAAAAAGCTATAGCCCTGAAATCATTAATGCAAATGTCTTGTATTTTAAGCTTTGCTTCTGCCAGATACTCCCTGCACATGTTCACCTCCACAGAGAGCTGAAGAAGCTGGCCCGTGGTCCTCATTGTGAGTAAGAGAGGCAGGGATGCAGCATGACCAGCTACTTTCCAATCAGGTGTGACACAGGAACGTAAGATAACCTCTGTGAGGATTACCCATAGCACAGAATTTGAGGATGGATCCCAGAGGAGTCCCAGTATTTTGCATGTTTCAGCGCACAAAGATGCAGCATTCGATTTGCCCATGTAACAGGAAAATTTTTACTCTGTGTGGCAGCATTCCTTAAGGCACATGGCACAGACTGTGATACAGGAAGCAGGCATGAGGGCAGACAGGCATCTATGACATTTGTGGTCTAGTGACATACTTCCAAAATAGATGGAAGATCTTCCCATTACTGGCAGTCTAGCCATGGGTCTAGCTGCTGAACATCTGACAGGCAGATGAGCTCCTCACTTTGACAAGGGAGAAGAAATACTTTCCTCATCTTACAGAAGAGATCAAAATTCAAACAGGGTTTGAAGTATTTTTGTCTTCTCCCTCCAGCACTAAGTTACCTCCTGAAATACTAAAGAGCAGAGCTACACATTTTCTTAAGGAAGTTTCTAACAAACTTCAGGCTTCTGGTAATCCATTAGACTTAAGGAAGAAAAGTACTTTAAATATAAGTAAGAATTAAACCACAGGAATTGCTATCAGAGTAATTTCCCTTCCCCCAAGAGCAGCACATTGTAAAGAAACAACAGCTCAGAAGCAGGGCTCTGCTGCACATCTGCAATGTCTGAAACTCACCTGGCTTTCATTTCCAAATACAGAACATGGCTCAAAGCCTGTCCCCAGAACAACACAATGAACAAGAACTGGCCTGAATTAAACATCAGATCCACAACACACTGCATTTCCAAATGTCAACTGCTACCTTCATTCTAGAGGGTTCATGTTTGGTAACTAAAGCAAAGGAAAGCTTACTTTAATTCTCTTTCAAAATTTCACATTAAAAAGAGAAAGAAAATCCTATTTTTGATGTTCTTTTACACAGACATGGTATTCTTTACTCAGATGGACAGATACATGTATATTATAAACCCGCATCATGCTGAATTGCTGGCTTTCCAGCCAAATATACACAGAGCATGTTACGTTCTAAGATGCCACATTGCTATTATTCAGCAGTTATGCTCTTCAGCAGCTGGAGTGTGAAGGAATTGGGAGGATCACAGTCCTCTGGTGAGTCATACACAGCCCTGAGGACAGGGAAGAAATGCTCTGCACGTGCCCAAGGCCGTTCCTGTCCCTGGGGCTGTGCTGAGGAAGGGGACAGTGAGCCTTTCCCAGTGCACCTACCCTGACTATTTGGGAATTCATTGCTAAACTCCAAACTAGGACATTACAAAGCAATTACATTCCACAAAATATCACAAGAACCAAAAAAGGAATTGACCAGTTGATCCATACACACATATCCTTCATCACGTGGATGGCTGGGTCAGGGGCACCAGGCCGTGTCTGGCGCTCTGGATCAGGGTGCAGGTCACACTCAGCTTCCTCACATCCGAGAGGTTCCCCAAACCCCTGATCACCACAGCAACCCTCCTTTCAGTTGTCGGCTTAACCTTGGTTTGGACATATCATAGGCCCCCTTTAGGCACTGGAGCTGCTCTAAGGTCTCCCCTTAAGGAGCTTTCTCTTCTCCAGGCTGAACCAGCCCAGCTCTCTCAGCCTAGCTCTGGAGGAGAGCTGCTCCAGTTGATCTCATCTGACTAATATAAGTGACGTTGATGCTATGGTGTGTTTTTACACATTTTCCTTAATCACTGTCACGGTAGCTATCAAACACACCTGGCTTGGGCTGAAAGAAGAGCTCTGTTCCATGGGCTAGCTTTAGCTCCCTTGTCTCCTGCCTGGCCTTGCACGTGTCAGCAGCTGAAGCTCAAGCCAGCTTTTATACCTGTGGATTATTACAGCTGAGGAAAACCCTCTAGATTGCCAAAGAGTCATTTAAGGTTTTCCAGACACTGTCCGGTTTAATAGAGAAAATATATTAGCAATAAGAGAAATTCAAAAGCATTTCCTCTTGTCTGCAGGAAATACAAGAATGCCCCAAGCACTATATGCCATGACACATGTCAACCACATACAGCATCTTCCAACGGGAAGCTTTCCTGTTATGCACAGGAAAAAGCTCATCTTCTGAACCACATCTCCTCAGTGGCTCTTTAAAATGTCAGCTCCAGTTGCTGTGTGCACTCCACCACTTCACCAAGAAGAGGGAAAGGAATCAAGAGGGAGTAAATAACAGTAAGTATCAGTCAAGCATCTCACTAGCTCTGCCTTTCTGCATTTCTGCCTCAGTTCTTATTGCTATTTGACTCAGATCTTCTTGTTGGCTTTATATTAAATCAGATTAAATCATCTTTTCTATAGATATTGCTTAACTTTTTTTAGCCAGATGACACAGTCTGTCCTTTTAAGATGTCTGCTTTGGAAATACCAGCTCTAGTAGACTTCTTGTAAAACAACGGATGAGTATTTAGACCAAAGATATTCCCACTAACTCCTTGCTAACAAAGACATAGGAGATCGGTAGGATTCACATTTCAGCTTCTCTGTGATGAAGTTTAACTTCTATGCAGCATTAATCCAATTTAAAACAAAGGAATGTAGTATTTAGCTCAGGAATCTAAAGGCAGAGAAGTAGTAGGAAACAGAGGAAGGGAATAGCTTTTGAGGTTTTAAACTTTCAAGCACAAGGGACTAAGACTGAAGCCTAGTGGGACCACTCTACAGAAGTGGGAATGACACAGCAAAAGGGATAATTACCTGCTATTCCAAAGCATGGTTATTTAATCCCCAAAAGGCAAGCAGTACCAGACATGTAACACACCCAATTCACCATTCATCTGAATCTTAAACTCTGTGTTCTTGGAGATGCGAAGCCACAGGGCAGCAAAAAAGAACTTTTGCCACGTAAAAATACATACTTCCTGCAGGCATTCTTATGTTTCCTGGTTCTGTATTATGTACGATTCCTGGTTAGAACCTTTGTCCTCTCACAAAGAGGATTTTTAGACATTTACAATTACTCAATCAAACTCAATTTTGAAAACTGACTTCAACACTCAATTTTAACACTAGACCTGTGAAGATACAGAAACAGAGTCAAAATGTTTGCCTAAAGCTGACTCGTTTTTGCCATCACCTCCTGGTGACGATCTGTTCCAGAACTTTGAACAATATCTAGTTCGTACAATAAAGCAATGAACTAGAGACAGAATGGGAGCACTGTGCTCTCTCCCAGCTGCTTTTATGCTACTTAATGTCAGGAAGAATGGCTCTGTGGGAGATACAGAAAGCTAAAGATTTGCTTCTAAAACCTAAACCTCCTGAGTAATCCTGTGAGATAGCTCTGTTATAGTTCCAAATTCAGAAGCATGCTAATGTATCCCACTTATCAGATTAATATTCTTATTCTCTGGGTAGCTGAAGCATGAACAAGGCAGAATTCATCACTGCTGCAGGCTTTGCTGTATCATTGCTGTTCCACATGACCTGGGCTGAAGCCTGTCCTGCCTCCTGTGACTGCAAGTCACTGGGAGACATGAAGGGTTTGCAGATCGACTGCAGCTCAAAGAAGCTGACAGCAGTGCCCGTCTTGCCTGGTGACACCAAGAGGCTTTATCTCCAGAATAACAGCCTGACCTCAGTTCCTCCCGGCACCCTGGATAGCTTGCACAGCCTGGAGGAAGTGGAGACCTCTGACAATCCTTGGAACTGTGACTGCCACATTCTGTACCTCAAACTCTGGTTAGAAGACATCTCTGAACCCTCTCTTGCAAAAGTGAGATGCGCAACCCCAGCTCCTGTGAGGATGAAGCCCTTGAGGCAGCTGACTGGGAACGAGCTGGGGAGTTGCAAGAGGCTTCTCCCCATCAAGTGTCTGGAGTTCTTTTGGCGAGACCTCATTTTAATTGCTGGAGCAATAATCACACTTATTTTAGCAGCATGGGCTCTGAAATTCTCCAAAAAGCTGGTCTGCCAAATAAACCTATGCCAGTCTGCCCCTCGGGGCTGACTGCTGGGAGCATACCTCCAAAACCCACCAGGGACAAAGAGCTGGTTGCTGCCACTGGCTTTAACAGAAACACCCAACACTTCCACCACCAAGAAGCATGTGCACTGGCAACACCAGTTCTAACGGTGAAGATGCTACAAACAGATCCCAGGGGTCAAAGCGTGGGTCCTCAGCTAGGCAAGTTTGATTTTATTTCCTTTCAAAATAAGGTTTGTGATGTATGATAGGCAAGTGTCATTCTGCTGCCATCTACTCGTATGAAAAGCAGTGTCTAATTTTTGAAAATCATTTAACTTTGCATTTTTCCACTGAATTCTCAGGGGAAAGATTTACATCCCCAAATCCTACACTTCATAACAGATGGAGATGAACATGACTGTACTATTTAGCAATCCTTTTCTGACTCAGCAGCTGTGTGAGTTCACAACCCATTACCCCTCACAGTGTCCCAGTGGGCTTGGGAGGACCCTTCTTGTGTGCATATTCCACCATCTCTTCTGCAGGCTGAGTTCCCTGCCAGCAAAACCCCTATGATTATATAGTCCAGCCACTGAATGTATCCCTTACTGAATATGTTTAAAAGATCGACTTTTAATGAGAATATAATCCATAAAAATAATTTGAAATATCACTGAATTTCCTAGAGTTAACAATAAAAAAAGCAGTCTATATGAAATTGAAATACTGAAGTTTATTGTACGTTCATACCCACCCAAGATTGATCTTCACAATTCTACACATTGCTGATTAAATTCCTAAGAAAGTTCCAGAGCTTGTCTTCCAGTTTTACTATGGACATTCCAAACACTGGATTTGATACAACAGCTCTGAAGAGATATACTCTCTTCCCTCCTGTTCTCATGCCCCCCATTCCTCACAGAAAAAATGCCGTGGTGACTCAAGCATATTGGCTTTTCCCTAATCTAATCAGACATGGCTCCTCCTGCTGGGACCCCAACTGGTCCAGTGAGGTTAGGCTACTTAGATGGGAGATCTCTGAAAGTCTTCTAAAATGAATTCTACTGCTGGCAGTTCAGTTTAAGACACATTTAGCACATGCTCCTCCTAGTCCCAAACCTGAGCCAGGCATTCAAGGTTATCTTCTGAAGACACTAAAGACTGCTTGGCCCTTTACCTAGCACCAAGTCACAGGAGTGGGGTTCCTGGTAACATACATTATATCCCTAGCAAAGCTGGGTGTGAGCTTTAGATTGAGAAAAGGAAAGGAAGAGAGTCAAATGTTTTCCCTGTAAAATAAGTGATGATCTGGGAGACAACATGCCCACTGCAATGTTAAAGTCTGCAAGTGATACACCGTGGGGAGCAGGAAGAGGGAAGTCATAGATGCAAAGAGGAGTGTTTGACTTGGAGTGCCAAGCAATCAAAAGCAAGATTGTACATCTAGAAACAAAAGATGGGTTGAGGAATCAATACAGAGAAGGCCAATAATCTGATCATCACAACCTCCCATGTATGACACTGCAGCAGAGGGCTAATGGGGTCTTTTCTTATTAAAACAGGGAATATCATTTAGGGATAGAAAGGCTTATTTACTTCCGGGTTTAGATAAGCTACAATAATTCAGTATCGATGACTACAAATCGAGGAGAATCAGCTGCAGAAGAATCTGAAAAACAACTGTAATGCAAATAAAGGATTGGAAAATGTATTTTAAAAGGAACTTAATGAATTTAATTTAAAAAAGAAAAATTTAAGAAATTACAAGATCACATCTTTTGTGAATCTACATAAAGAGAAATTTGCTGGGAGTAGGAATTAGAACATCAGACTTGAAACAGGGCTCAGGATCTAACAGTGAAAATAATTCAACACTGAACCAGCTCATCAACCGTCACAGTGCCAAGTCATGAATCCCACATGAACCAACACTGGGCATTCTATCAAACTGATGGGCACTCCCTGAAAGAGGAACAATTCTAAAAGAATTGTGTGAGCCACTTAAACATTACAGCTCTTCTTATTGCTTTGGTCACCTGCAAAAGCTATGGTGGGACAGGCCACGAGAAGAGAGCCCACAAGAGCAGTGCACCACAGGGACAGCCCGAGTGAGCACTGCACCACCGCGAGAGGCTCAGCCCTCCCACACCCCACAGCAGCAGCGTTCTGCTCAGCCTTCTCCAAGTGCACGTTGCCCTCCTCACCCTGAGTACTGAGACGGCAGCAAAGAACTGGCTCAGTAAGGCTGTACCTCCCCTTGGTGCAGGCCAGCATAAAAGGGTGTCTTCAGAAGTAGGTGTGCATGTGAACATTCAGAATTCCTCCAGCTCTATTAAATGATATCCTACATAAGCAGCCTCTGCAGGAGAGGATTTCAAACACACACATAGGAATGCAGTGGTGTATGCACTTGGATCCTTTTAGAATACTTTCTCTGCACTGAGCTTTTCAATGTTTTATAAGGCAACCATCATTTTGTGTTAATGCAGAGTATGACGGAAGAAATGCACTCTGGAGTCCCTCATGGAGGGTTTCCTAAAGGATATTTCTTGTGTCCCCAAAATAAAAGAAACCATTAACACTAAAAGCTTATCACTCTTTTTTGTGGTATAAAGCTAGATGTGCATAAAACAGTAAACTGCTGTAGTGTTCCTACAAGGATGCTGGAGAGGGACTCTTTATCAGGGACTGGAGCAATAGGACACAGGGTGATGGGTTCAAACTGAAACGGGAAATTCAGGTTAGATATAAGGAAGAAGCTCTTCCCTGTGAGGGTGCTGAGGCGCTGGCACAGGGTGCCCACAGAAGCTGTGGCTGCCCCAGCCCTGGCAGTGTTCAAGGCCAGGTTGGACACAGGGGCTTGGAGCAACCTGCTCTAGTGGAAGGTGTCCCTGTCCGTGGCAGGCGGTTGGAACTGGGCCAGCTTAAGGTCCTTTCCAACCCAAACCAGTCTGTGATTCTATTTAATTGATTCTATTTAATTGTTCAAACAGGAAAAAATAACCAGTTAGCAAACTTTTCTGCTTAGACCAACCAACGCATTAAATAAGATGCACAGAATACAGGTGGGGCAAGAAGGAGGGGTGAAGATCCACAGAAGATTTGAGAGAACGTATTTTCTGGCCTCATAAGAATTAAAAAGCAGGGATCTCTTCCATGGCAGTACACAGTGCCACTACAGCAGCACTGTATTTCTCACTTCTGATCCATTTGGCTTTTAGCTGAAACCAAACCTCTGGGAAGGGGGAAGCTGGAGCTGCTAACTGAATGCTTGAGAGCAACAGTCAGCTGCTTATCTGACAAGGCCACTATGCTGTGCTTAAGCCACACACTCCATCCAATTGCAGAAATACTGCTACAGTTGCTAATAATGTGCAAAGACAGGAAAACACATCAGCTATCTAAATGAAACACATGGGCAGCATTCCCAAAGGAGTTTGTAAGGGTCCCAGAAAGTGTTACTATACATTGCCTGCAAGAGTGCAAACTGGAGAATATATCTGTTTTACATTTACAGCCATACATTAGAAGATTGAGATTTAGTGTCCAGGCCTCAGCCCCAATTCAGGTATTTAAGTATGGAGAAAAGAAGTAATACAGTAATACAGAATAATAAAGTAAAATAGTTTTTTCTGTTAAGATAAACCCCAGCTATTTCGTAACATACATGGCACATAACAACAGCAATTTTCCACCTTAGGGCACAGTACTGCTTGCACAGACCAGGTGTGGAAGTGCATTAACAGCTACTAGACCAACACAGCCAGTAAAAGCTAGAATACTCACAGCCTAACAGGATGGTAATGACCAGGAACTCCCTCATGTGAACAGGGAATTTCTTATTATGGAACTAGTAATCATATACTAACTGAACGTACAAAGTACATGCAGAGTGGCAGTGAGACAAGCTTTTTAATTGGTCTAAAGCTACCACACTTGTATTCTTTAAGGTAAAGAATCAGTCCACATACCTACAGTCTCACGTTGGGTTTATGTGCCAATGCACTGTTTGGGGAATTATTAAAATAGAAGTTCAGGCTTCACAAACCTGCTGGTTTTCCTGGACTCTTAAGGGCCACACACTTGTATGTTATGATTTATACCTGATTTTACCTTTGCCTGCCAACAGGTAAAATGACTACACTGAAAAATTCATCTTATGACTCCTTTGATAGTGCTGAGTTGATGATAATGCTCAGCAATACTGAGTTTATCGTAGTAACCCTGTTTATCTGAACACTTCTTCTCTTCAGAGCACTACACAAAACGATTTTCAGAAGTGCCTTGAGTCTGTTGCTAGAACCCACATAAATATTTTGCTATTCCGTTGACTCCAGTTAAATTTAGGTTACACTCAGGAATGGGTGTATGACGATGAATTGCTTTACTTCCATAACAGCCACATGGTGAACTCCCTCCCAGGGGCAGCTGCTCCCTGACATAACCCCTCAGCCTGCACATTCTCCCTTCAGCCCACGGGCAGCAGCACTGATGTCACATCAGCAGCACACAGCTACTGACTGACACGGCAAAATAAACCTGAGGTACCTGACAGAAGTTCATTTGGCTTTACTTCTGACTTTCTTGTTTGGCCATCAAGCATCCAGTCCTTTAATAACCCACAGTTATTAGTAACTGTTGAATGGCACTGTTTTACACCAGTACATTTTGTGGGAAGAGTGGGTCGAGAGTCTTGCCTCTGAACAGTATAAAGAAATCCAGAGCATTCATCTTAGTCAGGGGAAAAAACAAAACAAACCAAACACACAAAGCAAGTGAAAGGTGAAAAATCACCTTCCTAAAATGACCTCGATCTACAGGGAAGGAAGTGTCAGCAGGGATGGATTACAGGCTCCCTTTTCCTCCTTGAATCATTATTTCTTGTCTCCTCCTTTAGGGGTCAGAAGGTTTTTGCCTTCAAGTTAATAACTTATTTTTTGGCTAGGATTCATATACCGCCTCTTACGACCTCAGAAGAGGACTATGGAGCCTGACATTTCTGTGTAAAGTCTACCTTTGCATCTCATTCTTTTCAGTAGCTG